ATGTATATATATATATATATATATACACACACACACAGATTATCATATTTCCTTTCCACAACATCACACCATTTCCTTACTGTTAAAGTCCATTTCATTTACCACAAATAATAGCATATGATGGCTTGATGGATAATATGTGATTTGCATGGCTATATTCAGCTGAAATCATCTAAAGCTGAATAAATATACACAATTACACAACAAGGTAGTCATGTAACAGATTCAGAAAGCATGTTACAAAAAGCAGAAGTATAAAAAAAATATATATAGAAGTAAAGGTTTGCAGAATTGCAACAAAAAAGTACATTTACATATATTTTATAACTGTAATTCTATGGACCCTTTATAATGACCGCATTTACCTTTTCTGTCACAATATAGCATATAGCATTTCAAAAAACATTGTGGCTTTTCCAGCTATAGAATAAATGGTGCTCTTATGTCACTTTAGGGAGTAAATGTAAATTATTGTGAAAAGATATTACTGGAATGTATAGGGTTTTTTTTATATATATATTTTGTAATAGTGCAGTACTACCCCCTGTAGGATGTATGTAGTACTGCAATCCATATTTGCACTTTAAATTATAGGAAAATCTTGCACAAACTGATCTTCTTGATGAAACAACTGTGCCATTTCTTTTATGAGAGAAATATAATACTGCAGTATGGGGAAAATATTTAAAACTGCATATAGTATCCATATATCCATATGAATACTTAGAATTATTCATAAGCCAGCAAAAAAACAACCTGTTTGTTTAAAATACATGTATTTAAAATAGTCACTGGTTTACACAATGTTGTGTTTTAAAAACACTAAAGCAGATCATACATCTATTGATTATTGTTCGATTTCTTTCATGCCCTCATTGAACCCTTGTTCGATTTCCCCTCGAATCCCCCATCATGCACAGATCAATGTTGATTTTGATTATTGTTCGTTAGCAATACTAACACACCGAATTTCGTCAATTTACAGAACAGATTTTTGTTTGCGCATGTGCAGTGTTCATGTTGCGATTTTTTCATATGAAAACTCCACAAATCCATAGAGTTTTGTTCCATTAGAAAAACATTTTCCATTCTGACCGATCGAGGAAACTCAGCCAGGAGTACAGTAAAAAAAATCATTGGTTCCCCATCACCTGATCGATTATCGTCGAAAGACCATTTGTGGACTATTTCCGAACGATAATCGATAGGCACCTTTACTGTTCACAGAGAAAGGAAGTATTTTTCATTTGCATGCTTCTTTGTATTTTTTACATTTAAAATATTTTCATCAGGCATTTCACATGAAAAATAATTACTAAAATGCATCTAAGTCCTAGTTGTAACATATGAAATTTCCAGATACATATGTATTATCCATGCAGAAAAGACATATGATTTTTGTAAACTTAAAAAATAAGAAATCCAATGACCATGAATGAAGCATGAACAGAATCATTTAATATGCCCTTCACAGATACCTAGGTTTGCCATCGCATCTGTTAAGCAACAGACATATATGAATTACACAGGCTCTGTGGTTAATTAACTCCAGTTAAGGCCCTGAGAGAATCTAATTACCACCTTAATTTGCAGCAGAACCTATGTAATGCATAATGTGTTTAGTTTGACAACACTCATACATCTCACATACAACACACATTTCACTTTGACAACTGAGATGACACTATTTGTAAAGTTTACAATATATGTAAAAAATATACACTTGTGGATAGAGACCACTAAAGATTCTAGCAGCAATATTAATGGTGCAAATGTGTAGTGGCACATCTTCATATAGTGATCTTATATTGTGGAACACAACAGGTGTATGTAATACACAGTTGAAGTGCACTGGATTTACTTTAAAGTGACACTAAACTCAGGAGTTAAATCTTAAAAATGCATTAAAGTACCTTAACTGTTAACAAAAATGTAGTTTATTTGTGCATCACTCAGCTGTAGATCCTCAAATCATCTCTGATTTTTTTGCTGACACTGTTCTTACTTTTGGAGGGTGGCTACTTTTGTTCTTCATGGTTCCTGTGTTGTAAAGTAGTCACCGATCCAAGCTTACTTCGGTGATGGACTATAATCTCAGTTTACTTTACTAATTTGTATTGAAGTTATAGTCTACACTTCACTTACTTCATGCTTCCACTTTCTCATTTTGCAGCTGAGTGGCATGTTGGCATGCTTATTCAGTAAGGTATAGCAGTTGAAGTGATCCATAGCAAATTGTAGCAATCTTTCAGTGATCTGATTTCCATAAATGAAATAAGATTGCTAATTAAGGGGCTTCTGCAGTTTGCATAGACAATGTATCTTTTCTACCCAGGGCCTGTCATTAGGATCACACATATGGTGTAAAGCCACTATGTAAAAGAAAAGCATGTATATTTACCTTTCTGGCAGCCTATGTGTTAAAAATCAGCTGCTGTCAGATCCCCAACTGCTGCAGGCACTGTATCCATTTTCAGGTGTGTTTATTACCTCCTCCACTGTGCATGACATATGAGCCAGCAGGAAGAGCCACAACATGTGGCACAGTAGCAGATATTGGACACACCCAGAAGTGTTTAAAGAATTGTGGGCATAAGTACAATGCTTGCTTAAGGTCTTTTGCCGCCAAAAGTGAAAGGGCCAAATTGCACCCCCATCCCTCCTGTGAGCTGTGAACTACTTCAGCAGCATTGTTTGCAGTTCCTTCCCCTTTTGCCCCCCCGCTGAAGCGCCCAAGGTGGCTGCCTCCTTCTGCCCACCCCTTGGCCCAGCTAGTTGCAGCATGGCCAAGGTTTGAGGATAAGTGAGCAACAAACAAATGAAAGCTAAACTCCAGCTTATGTATTTTAAGCATTTGTCAGCTTGTCCCGAACCCTGTAATGTGTTTTTGGTGGGCAGCTCGGTGTGCAATATTCTCTGTTTTGGTGACCTTTAACATCCTCGGCTTTGTTTAGTCATTCCATTTTTGACAGTCTTAATTGGAATAAATGCCAAACTTCATGCACAGTGCATTTTTTTTTTTTTTTTTACAGTTTCAGTCCCTGCTTGCCCTTTTCTTCTTAGTTGCCTTTGACAAGGCCTGGATGATAATTATGAAATGTCTAGTAGCTGCTTTCATGTTATGCTTTCTTCTGTAATCTACTTATTTTATTTTTTACAATACCATTGTTTAATATCTACGTGTCATTCATGATTGATCTTATTTGTACATGTGGTATGCTACTATAATATACAGATAGAATTGCTTATTATTCATCCATCACCAAGCTAATGGTATTTATTTTGCCGAGTGGTGGACTTTGAATATACAGTATATGCAGGGCTGTTGCTAATCCAGCCCTGCCTATATTAGCACTCTGATTGCTGAACTGTCTTGCTTGAGGTGGGACCAAATTGTTTTTCTACCTGGAATGGATTATAATAAACATAAATAAGCAGTGAAGACAGTTTCCAAAAATAACATAACTAAATATAACGTGTAAACAGTACTCTATCCTTTATCTTTTAAACCTTTTAGAAATAAATTATCTCAAATTAAATGTTTATTTGGTCCCCATCCAGAACTCAAAATACAGTCGGCACAAAGGGGCTTTTTAAAAAAGCAGTCAGCGTGACCAAACATTTATTTTTGGTGAATCAGTCACTGTCATTTAAAACACATGCATCTGGAAGATTTGATTGCAGTGAATGTTTGGTGAATGTCAGATTCACTGCTTTATAAATATGCACCAGAGAGTCCAGGTTCTCTGAGAACAACATCTTTCATATATAGTAACACACAATTAATTAGTATTCTCTAGACAATGAATAATGGAAATGATATGTAATTATATCTGCATCTCTGAGGGGTAGGTGAAAATTATCAAAAGTCATGTTGCCTACCTACCCCCTTCAATGTAGTTCCCTGTAACCAGCATGTCCTCCTCCATCCTTGCTCTAAACACTTCTGTACTGAGTGAAATTGGCTTGATGTAATCTTACCCACACAATGCATGCCAGATGAGGAGATGAGGGTGAACAGAATAATCAGCACTGTAAAATCAGAACAGACAATAGTGGGTGGTTCGGCAGAGGACAGATATGTGAGGAGAACTCCAGGGTTTTACCAAGGGTGCAATATGGGACTGCAATAGCATAGAGGCTGAAGGCATGTCACAGAGAGAAAACTGTTTGCAAGGCAGGCTGCAGGCATCAGTGTTCACATGTTTGATGTTAAAAATTAAAATGGCAACTTGTGGAGGCCTAGGCACTACTCCTGATGTTCTTGCTGCCCTAGGCCATGACTTAAGTGGCTTGTGTGTAAATATGGCCCTGTACACTCAGTATCTTATAGGTTGGTTGCAAGTGGCCTTATAATATCAAATTTTGATCCTGATCTAATTGTCAGTAACTTTACTATTTCTGAATTCCTGGGGGTGATAATCAGTGGTGGTTGGTTACTAGCATTGCAACATGAGATGTTTTTCAACTTGCTGTTTGTTCACACTTCTGCACAAAATAGATGAGGGTTATGAATACTCCCTAACTGCATTTGTGTTGGTAAGGTTTTTGTAAATATACAATAAAACAGGGCAATTTGGAGAAGGGAAAAAAACTTTGAGGTCCCTGCATTCCATGCCCAAATTACCCATAACATTTAATCCTGATGTAAACATATTTTTGGTGGTTTGCAAGTCCCCTCCAATAATGCCTCATATGCATTCAAAACTTCTACTCTGCACAGGAGCGAGGAGCCTGCTGTTGGTAGG